AGTCATTTTATGGCCATGTGGAGCTCGGGAAGAAAATGTGCCAACTTTAACCTTAAGTCTAAGGCCTTCTGGAAAATTCCAAAAATTAAGAATGTCATACTCTGAATCCATTTCTTGTCTATCATCCAAGTTCACTAAGTCCCCCGCAGGATTGGAAAACTGAATATTCTTCAGAAAGAGATGCAGCTAACAAAAATACATTATCCTATGAGGACAGAGCTCCAGGCAAAGACAAATATTATGGGTCAGGTAAAGATCATAAGCATCTTTAATCTCATTTTCCTAAAGCAACCTTAACACTGGTATCTATTACATTAGAGCACACAAACTTTTCAGGACTAGAAAGTCACCATGTTCAAGAAATTTCATTCAGTTTAAGAAAAATAAAATATTCTATGAAAGACTATTTAAAGAAAGCGTAGAGTTGTGTTGGGGCAGAACATCAAATGTAGAATCAAAGCATGTAAAAGTCACAACTTCTATTATCTATCTGATTATTCACATAGAATCTACCTTAGAAATGGGTTCATAAACAGAGAGATTTAATGTCTTTTCTTTCTAAGTGATGACAATCTTCCTGCTGTCCTTTAAGAACAATATGGAACATATATACATGTGTAAAGCAATGACCTCCTCTAGGCAGAAGCAAGGAGCTGGCCTCATGTTTACTCCCCCTTGCCAGTGGGTCAATCACATCAAGAATCACCTCCTTAATGATGTGTTGGAGAAATTGTTCTAGGATTCTTAGGTGAAGCACATAGAAGTGCTTGAGAGAGGCACCTTGATGACTCTGCCTATATTCCAAGGGAAGACACATTACCATAAAGGGGGGAAACATCATTGCTTATCTATTTTTGAGTGGTGGCATTTGTATTTCTTCTAAAAGCATGGTATGGAGAGCATGGGCCACAGCATACACAGCATTGTATATATTGTAGCTCCTATCACTCATGGCTGTTTCAAAACTATTCAGGGGCAACCAAGTCAGAGAGGCATTAGGTGTGCAGGTCTTCAAGGCACAGTCAGACTCAGAGAATGAGCAGTCAAATTTCTTGGACCAATACATAACAAGGTAAGTGTCCTCCGGGTATTTGAAGTGGGTAGCTGCCCGGACAAAATCTTTGAAACCTGAAATCTCTTCATGATAGTGTGAAAAAAACAAGAATCCCATGGAACATGTCATTGATGAAATCTCTCCCAGCCAGGTCAGCATGCCATTGTGAGTTTGTCACCCAGACTTTCCATGTCAGTAAGTTTTGCATTATGCTGTAGTTTACGTCATGTACACTATCAGTGTCACAGTAAATGACCACCACATTGACAGATGACATCAGTTCATTGTGGATGTCATCTTTCTTTCCATCTGGGTGATAGGACACAGCCACAGTTGACAGCATTTTAACAAAGGCCACACAGACTCTGTTTCTGTCCATCTCAGCTCTTATATCTGAGAGAAACTGAAGACCCTTATGGCTCTCTGTGGTGAGAAGCCCCACCCAGGTCCAGTGGAAAAGAAGCATCAAGGATACCATGGCAAGGGCCAAGTATGTCTCCTTTGGAGCTAACTGATGGAAAGAAGGATACTGGCCACTGTCCATCAGTGTAGGATCAAATGAGCCAAAGGTAACCTTAAAGGAAAAGAACACTGGATAACATAGTGGAGTGTTGATGAAAAGCACAATAGTAATTCTAAGTGTACTGAATGACACCGCCAAGTGCTGAGAAAAGATACACACTCCTACCGTTATTATCAACGTCTCTCACGGGACAAGTTATTTTTAATGAATGAATATATTCAGACATCACAAAAATATATATTTTCCCCTTTTTCCTTTCCTTTTGATACCAAAAGAGATAAAGTAACAGAATTGGAGGTAACACACTAAGTCTCTCTGTTTAGATTCTGGTACCGTATATACCTAGAAAGATAATAATATCAGCTTCATTTTTCACCCTTAATGTTCCATGTAGGTGAAGCATAATGGAAGTGTTTCCCTCATTTCCTGCCCCACCAACCCTCACCTGTGGAAATTTGTAGAGCTCCAGCAGTGGTCCAATCTGAGCTGAGGTTTCCCATGACATTTCTGTCAGTACTGCTGCACACTTGCGTTCTCTCCTGCAAATGTAATTAGGAATCTCGTGTTGTCCTGTGAGCACAATGAAGGAATTCTCTAGTATCCTCCAATGACTACTAATGAAATTATGGAACTCATAGCCCAGAGAAATGTTGGGTAAAAGATGAGGATTCTTGTTGATCTCATCTATCTCAAAAATGAAGGCCAGGTAGTTCTGATAAGTCCTAGGTGTAAGCCTGCATAGAGAACACAGAGGACCTTAAGAAAAGGTATCATCATTGATCATATTCCAATCCATTCCAGAACCATTTATAAGCTGAATACTCATGTTCATTCCCCACACTCATAAGAATCAAATATGCATGTGATGAAGTTAGGGCTGGCAAGATAGCTCAGCACTCTAAGTTCCTGACTGGCAAGTGCAAGATCCCGTGTTCAATCCCCAGTACCACATGAAGTGCCAGACTGGGACCCCCAGGCATGGTGGTACATGCTTTTAATCCAAGCACTATGGAGTCTCAGACTGAAGGATCACTACAAGTCTGAACTGCACAATTAGACCCTATATTCAATAAATTTATAATTTTCATAAAATAGGTAATGGTAGATTAAGTTTTTAGAAGGCAATTTGAATTACAACAATAGGGACATGAATTTTCCATAAAGGAACTTTGTTTCCTTACTAGATTCCAAGCAGAGTTGCTTCAACATTATGTTTTATTTGTTATGGAGTTAATATCAGCTTGATATATATAATCAAAATAAATTGTCTGGGTTCCAGGGAGATGGCTCAGTAGAATAAGTGATTCTCTATCAAGCACAAGGGGCCCAAGTTCAATCCTCGTTTCCGAAAAAAAAAAAAAGTATAAATTATCTGTATACAATTGCACTATGTTGGTCTTTAGAAATATAATATACATAAAGAATGAAGGATAAAACTGATATTCTTCCAACTCAAAATTCAGATTATGCCTAAGGAATAAAGCAGTGAGTCACGATTAAGATGGGTGAACGCCAGGAGTACAAGTTTACACTCCATCCAAGGATTCACCGCATAGACAGCTGAAGTACTATTGACAAAGTGCAATGAGGTTTGAATGTTGTGTCATGAAGCTTCTTAAAGAACTTGTATATCAAGAGTACTTTCATTGAAATACTTGTAGAAACAAGATTTCTTTATTAGCATCAGCATTACTTACTATTGTTGTGGAGTTTCTTGTTCTTTTTTTTATTTCCTTTGTGGCCATTTCAGCCCGCCCTGGGGGTGGAGCTGGTACAGCACTTAGTTGCAGGGATGGAACCATGCAGCCTTCGCTTCCCTAAACTTGCCTAAGCTACCACTTAGGACACTGAGCTACCTCCATAGCCCCTACTCTGTGGTTTCTAAGCCATGGAATAAATATTTAGCAAGTCACAAAAGAATAAAAGAGTTGAACAGAGTAGCAGGCATGACTATCCCATTAGTAATAAGATTATTCACCTAAAAAAATTAAAAATCTTCTGGTATAGACACAGAAAAAACTAAATTAATGAAGAAAAGAGATTTCCAATATAAAATTGACAAAGTTCTTGCAGGAAAAAATATATGCTATAGCTGTAGCCTTAACAAAATGAACAATAACACATGAAAAATATTTCCAGCATTAAATATTGAGATGCAAGTGCAAATAGGAACAAGAAAACTGCAAATTATAAGTATGTGTTTTTAACCTAGACAGTTATATCTATCTCTGGCTAAGCATGATTTATGTAGAAATGCTTACAATGAGCAAAATGTCATGTAAATGACTTGAAAATAATTTTACAACACAATTTTTTTCTTTAATATGGAAAGCACTTTTAAAAATTTATAAGTTCTCTTCTAGGGTAAAAAAAACTGTCAAGGGGTAAGAAATTAAATGACATACTCATGAAGTAATGAAAGCTGTTTGAACAATGCAAACGTTAATAAAGGACATGCTTATGGTATCAACATGCTGTCACCTGTTTAACTTCTACCTAGAACAGCTGTCCAATGTAAATGCTGAGGAAATGTTACGTCTCTGAGCAGTCGGTTGAAAATGCCATTATTTTGTTTCAGTATGCAGTTTGGTAATTTCAAGGATAAGGTAATTTGAAGAATATATAACTTTGAACACAGCCGCTTTGCTCTTCAACGCTCATTAGCTTTGATCAGCGAGCATTCCACTAAGCATCAGACGTCTGTTGCCCTCCTTACATGACAGAAGGCACTAATTACAAATATCGAACATCGCAAAAATAAATGAGAATTAAATTATGATATGTTTAAAGGATATGTTATGCAGTAATAATAATTATTGTGAAGATTTACAATATCATGTATGGAAAAGACACTGATAAACACAGAGACAGAGCAATGTTACTTTGACTGTGCTTATTATTATGAGCAGAAAAGCCACAGTGCTATCAAAGCTAAAGAATAAATCAAATGTACACTGTGTGTGCATATCTGAAAAGTTTATTCTTTAAAATACTAAAATCAGATTCTTCAATATAAATTCTATCTGAAATATATGGATTATTTATAAAAATTTTTATTGCCCCAAATTTCATTTCCTCTCATTTTTGCAGGAATCTAAATTCTCTTTCGAGGCTCCAAACTCATTTTCCTGATGGCTGCATCAGCCTGGGCACACACACTCAGACCTGCACGTGCGTTCTTTCCAGCCACAGACAGAGCTCACAATGCGTGGGCCTAGAGCAGGGCCACCTGCAACCTGATCCTCTGAGCATATTTGGGAACAGCAAAGGACAACAGAAGAGTAGGTAGCTCATCCTCTCTTCCTAGGAATAGAAACAGATCATACATAATGTGAAGTGTCTTGAAATCTGAGAACAGCTGATACCTGATCATACCCCCTATACTCAGATGCCTTCTGATCTCACTGGGCTCTCCTTAGTTAGGGTCCACTCAGGAGCAACTAGCCAGACTCCCTCATGATCCCTCTCCATGGTCCTGGTGAGGTCTAAATGCATACTGGCCCATTCTCCATTCAGAATTCCCCCCTTCATACAAACCGCATTTCAGTGCATTCTATACTGCCGTTCATGTTCTGATCAAACAAAATCCTTCTTATAATTTTCCGTAAGTGACAGGAATTACTAATCCTCTCTCAGGCCTTAGGGAATTTCCAGCAGATTGTTATAAGTTAAACACTAAAAATTATTCTGATCTACCACTAAGAAGAATTATTCAGTGGCAGATACCAGAATTAAAATTTGCATATTATTCCTATCTATGAGAACACAAATTTTCCAAAATGATGGAAGAAAAACACATATTCAGGGTACAATGACCAATAATGCTAGTTGCTCAAGAAGCTGAACCAGAAGAAATTCTTGAGCCCAGATATTTGCTTGTAGCACAGTCAGCACAAGAAGTTCCCATCTCAAATACTATGAGAACATGGCAAACTTTTCAGGAATTAAAATACAAGGAAATATCTGGATGTTATAAAGAGTGTGGAGCTGGGAAGATACCTCAGTGGATTAAATGACTGCTTGGTAAATGCAAGATCCTGAGCTTAATGGCCAAAATAGAAAAAAAAATAGTTATGAGAAAGATACAGACCCCATCTACAGAATTGAAAGGCCCAGGATTTTACCCGGCTGGCCTTGCTCCCAAATACAGTGCATTAAAGAAACCACAGTCAGAGTTGTGTAATATAGGTGCCTGAACTCACAAATAACAAAAATCCTCTATCAAAAAGGTAGAAACAATAAAACAAGATTTAATTAACTGTTAGGCAACACACAAATCATTACTCAGAAAAGTAAAGCACACACACAAAAAAAAAAATTTACATCACCAGGTTAGACGAGATTCCATACCTAAAATTCCAATTCCAGTGCCGAGAAGCCTCTTCATGTCGTTTTTAGGGCTCTGACTGGGAAATGTCAAGGCACAGTGCCCTTTCTATGGGTGGGATCCCCAAATCTTCCTACAAGGGAGTGCCCTAAATTTCCAGTTGACACAAAAGGGGCAGTGTCCCAACTTTGTGTGTGACCAGAAGCAAGGAGACTATAGTACTCTAGACCTGGCCAGGTACCTGATGATCAAACACCTGCGTCTTCTAGACAGGTAAGAAAGAAACTCTTTGGAAGCTGGCCAGGCTGACAGTGAGTTTCTGCTCTTATCAGGATGCCCAACAAAATCCTAATATGTAATATTCAAAACAAGGCCCCACCACTGTGTTAGGACCAAGGGAGACCTTTCTGTATTTAGTTTTAATTCTTCCGATCGGCAGCAGCTACCAGACCACTATGGATCAGTGTCCACTGTAAAACAATATGTTCCACTGATATCTCCTTTTATCACAAAAGCACAAATAATTCATTGAAATTCTCTGACCATTAGGAGCATTCATTTTTTTTTAACTATGATTTTGTCAGACCTGGTACAGTAGAATCTGAATACAGAAAAGATACACACATCCAACTGAGGAAAAATCACATGAGTGGGAAAAGTCTCTCAGGTGATTCATTTCTTGTACTGACTCAGCTTGCAGAAGCAGGAGCTCTGGAGCTTCCTAAAGTTTATTTGAAACAGCAACTAAATATTTACAGGAAGACGTTACTCCTAACAGAAAGGGCAGAAATATCAGAAGAGAAGATGTAAGAATGCAAGGAACTACATAGTTAGAGAAGGACAGAAACTTCAGCAAACCACTCACTGCATTAGGGCACATTTGTCAACAGCCACTTAGCATTCAGTTCAAACGAAGTGACTCACTCATGAAGAAGAGTGTCACCAAATTCCATGCAGTGGCATCCAGGTCTGAGAAAGGGCATGGACCACACAGTATGGGTAAGCGGGGTCTCTCTAAGGTTCTAAGAGTGAAAACAAGAAGCTAAGACTGCAAGCAAACAGAAAGAATATTCTCTTCCCACATTCCAATGTATAAAAAGAGTCCAAATTTTATGCCCATTGTACACATAAGGGTGGACAGAACAGGTGACACTATAGAAAATATTGATTCATATATGCATGGATCTCAAGGCATAACTTATCTTGATATCCAGAAAGATAACAAACTCATGAAGAAGACACTTACTGAATGAAGTGGAATTCTCCAGTAGGCTGTATATCAGTCATACCAGTATAGTAGATATAGAAATAAAGATACAAGAAACACCCAATCACCACGTCTCCATCCTTGCACACACTGGTGCTTCTTCGGGAAATGCAGTCTTCATTGTCAATTTGCTCACTGAGGCAGAAAGCTGCAGGAGAAGGAAGATAGCAATCAAAGGCAACATCCTAGATGTGCATGAAAGCCAAGGGCTGAGTGAAGAGAAAAATCACAGGCTGAGCCAGGTAAATAAATATGCTGTTTGTGTTTCAGCATGACATTTTTTGAGACTCAGGTGGACTCTCCGATGCCCCAGCTGCTGTCAAAAGTGCCTGCTCCATTTCCCTGGAGAAGTTTGCCACCATTTTCACCCTGGGATCTACATCTGAGGTCTGGTGACCAGGAGAAAAACTCAAGACAGAAATCGTGCTTGCATATCATTTTCTGTACCTCGAGCCACCATGACGGAATCAAGTTCCACTGAGGGCAATACCCAAGTGACCCCTCCTCCTGGGCATATTTGCCCCTAAGTGAGCCACTGTTACAGATTCCATTAGATGTGCTTCTAGTAGACTACACTGGAGGATTTGCTGTTAAGCTTCTCTGGAAATATCAGGAAACCCTCAAGTTCACTAAACAATATTGGACATTGTGTCTTCCAAGTACGATCAGGAATTGTCACCTGACAGGCCCACAGGACATTTTCTGCATAGTTGTGTTGCCTCTATACCAGTCACAGTAAGTGAACCTCACAGCCACATCTGCTCTCCGCTGCTTTAGGTGCACGTAATTGCCCCACAGGCATGAAACCCAAATTAGTGACTAACATCAACGCAGAAACACCAAGCATTTTGAGTTGTATAATATAGCCTACTTGCATGCTGCTTCATTCTTTTATACATCTTCATTCCATGATTTAATATGCTGTCAGACTCCATTTCTACTCCTACATGCTTGAACACATACAGGATTTAGGCTTTTGTGAGGACATGGGCCTGTGTAGACTATTTCTTTTTTGCCTTCACCTGGAAGCAGAGAAGCAAACTGAAAATCGCATCTATATTTTCAATCACTCATAATATCGAAGAGCACAGAAGTACAGGCAATGCTTACACCTCTGAGTATCAGCGCAGGGTGATTATTCTAAATAATGCAGCAATAGTTCAATGCATGCCATCCTGTATTTATCAAGGTCTAGATAACCAGCAGAGTGAGACTCAATATGGACTTATTGGATCACTTATTTATGGGAATCATTTTTCACTTATAAATTGTGAAATGTTAGTAAGAGGCAATCTATTAAACATGAAAAGAAGCATTGTTTTCTGTATGAATAAAGTTTTAAAATTAAATTATATACATTGTGAGAAAAGATAATTTTCTCTAGTTTCAAAGATATAGGCCTGATGCCCTCATTAGCATTGGAAAAGTAGCTGGACAAAATTAAGTTGGCTTAGGGGCCGGTGAGATGGCTCAGTAGAATAAGTTGCTTCCCTGGCAAGCACAAGGGCCTGGGTTCAATCCAAAGCTCCAAAAAAAAAAAAAGAAGCAAAGGAAAAATATATAAATTGTGTATAAATCCAAAATTTTCAAGAGTTTCAAATATATTAAAGCACACTGAGATTTTATTTATTTTTAATAAACTATCACAGAGCAATAGGTTGAATCTCTTTGGTTTAGTAATTTTTTAATGTTTTTGGTTATTACATGGTCTAGCTATGCAGCTTGGACTCATAGAGATCCTGCTGTCTTAGCCTCCCTAGCTCTGGGATTATGGGCGTGAACCAGCACATGGGGACTTGGTGGCTGGCTCAGTGTGCCTGAGGGGCAGGACTGGCATAACATGTGGTGCCCAGGATTGAACCATGTTCCCTGCTTTTACCTAATCTTACCTAGGCAGGCACTTTAATCCTCTGAGCTATCTTGCCAGACCCCAGTTTAATAAATTGTATAAAGATATTCCTAAGTGAAAGCTTTTTAAGTCCACTAACATGGGCACTTTCAATTGTACCCAATAGAGACACAAGAGTACAGAGTATTTGAGAGTACAGCCAAGGTCTCTACATGAGGGCAGGACTTACCAAACTCAAAAAGCCTTCTGTTCTAATGTGCATCGGACAACAACATGGGCTGAACTGCATTTCAAGTGATGATATGATGAAGTCACGACTCTGATACTTATGAACATGGTCTACCTAAACAGTGTATCTATAGAAATTAACAAATAGTGGTTAGGACAGAGCCTGATCCAATGCAGCTGTGTGATTCTAATAGGGAAACACCATATAAGACTTCGGCTCATGATAAATTTTGTTCTTAATATTTTATTTCTTTAGTTACTTGACACAAGGTCTTGCTACACAGCTCAGACTCATACTGATCCTCCTGTCCCAGAATATCCAGTCCTGGGATTATAGGTACATGCTACCATGCCAGTCTCAGTCACCAGCACAGTGCTGCTGGGATTCCAAGGCCAGTGCAGCATGTGGTACCAAGGATCAAACACAGATCCTTTTTTTTTTTTTCAGAACAAGGGGTTAAACTCAGGCCCTAGCGCTTGTGAGGGAGGCGCTTATTCCACTGAGCCATCTCCTCGGCCAAAAACACAGATCCTTTTGTCAGCTGGGCAGGCGCTTAGAACACTGAGCTATCTCCACAGCCTGTATGTTTTAAATGGCTAAAACATTATTTAAATGGAGAGTATGTCCTGAATGTACACAAAACCTTGTACTCAGACTCTGTGCCACACAAAGAATGCTGAAGTACTAAATTTGTAACTGTGCTGCACTATGCAATGACATCAACCCAGGAAGTCATTCAGTAATTAATTACTCTTGTAATTAATTATAAGTTCTCCAATATGATAGCATATAGCACATATAGCACTACACATATAGCACAACAGAGGAGAATGTGTGATTAGAATATCTCTTCTGCACTTCCTGGAACATCAACTGGAAGAAAGCCCGGGGTGAGGTCCCTTTTTGGCCAATACACTAAAGAAAATGACTGTTTCCTTCCCACCCACACACTCCCAAGTTGCAGAGAAAATATGCTGGGGCTTCTTCTGCCGCAACTTGAGGAGACAAAGCTCTTGTCCTTGGTCTGCCTGCCATGCCTTCAGTGGGTGCGGCACTCACGTGTACCCGCCATGTACAAAATTCTAATTCGCATACATGTCCTTGTTGCCACTGAGGATTTGATTCCAGACTACAAGAGTTTGTATGTAGGAAGAGGGCAGACACATTAGTCCCAGATTTCTAATGAATTGATAAAATTTAGTGTGCAGATTATTTTGTTCTAAAAAATAAAATCCAGGTAGAAGTCCTCCCTATTTCCCTATGCAATGATGAGGAGTGATGGAGAGAACTGGAAGGCAAAGTCCACAGTCCATGTGTGCCCTAAGATATTGTCCTACATGCCTGCTACAAAGTGATGGCATCTCAAGTAAAAACAATTTATCATGGGGGAAACCAGAACATCAAAGTAAGTAAAATGGCTGCAAGGATATTCTCCAGAATATGCTCCAAAAAATACAGAAAAAAATTGATGTGCTGAACTATGAAAATTGTTATAATAAATGATACCAAATGTACATCAATAGAGGTCATGCCCTGTTAATGATCAATAGATGCCGTACTGTTCAGATATCCAGCCTGCCAAAGTAGAGCAAGAGATTCAGTGTCATGCCACTAAAAATATCAGCAAGCAATTCTCAAAAGAATGATATTTTTTTTCTTAGGTAATCTTGTTGGTAATAAAGAATATTAAATTTGAAGTGTTCACATTTATTGATTCCAAGATTTTATTATGAAAGGAGCAAAATGTGAAGAAATGGACCAGCCCATGTAGAATGCGCCCCAAGTTTTACCCTACCCTACCTGGGCAGGCAAAGGCTCAGGTGTGCACTGACAGCTTTCCTCATGTTTTCCCTGCTGATTAGGAAGGAATCAGTGGAGGGGGCTCACACACAAACTGGCTCATCAGCCATATGTGTCCCTTCTGTGACAGTGCTTGTCCTAAAAGCTCACAACACAGCAAGCAGCTCTCACCAAGCCTTCCGGTCCCCTTTGCCCAGGAAGCTGTGCCCACCATTCTCCTGCCTGTCATTCTGTGCCAATAGCAGTAAGCAGAGGGCAGTGATGAGCATTCAACAGCATACATGAGATTGAAATAAGTAATCCTTCATGTTACTACAGTGAACTTCATCTCCCCAGAGGTCTGCAGGTTGGCAAGAAAATGCAACACTAAGGAGAGCACTTTTGACTTCATATAAAGACTCCTGTCTCTGTCTTTTTTTTTTTTTCTCATTCCTGTCTCGGTCTCTCTCCACCATCAATTTTTAAAATTAATTTTATATTTTGGACAATTTCATTTTTGTGCATCTTGGAATGATTTTATTTAAATGTCTTTGCAAAAGGTTCATTTTTCTTGGAAATGTGGTATTATAAGTTGAACTAAATTCAGAAATTTTAAATCTTTAAAAAAATGATTGAAACTATTGTTTGAAGCAAGGTACAATTCTCCTATGATGAATGCGATCACTATGTATATATAAAATGTACCGATAAAAAAGATTCAAGGAAAAAAAAAGAAATCAAATGGCCAAATATATCAATGGACTAACAAGAACATTCCATTGTGTGAGATAAAGCTCCCTCCAGGGAAGATGGCCCTGGATCAGTGCTACAGATCTTAGACTATTTCTGAGGAGGCCAGGGGCTATGCCCACGTGGTAGAAGAGAACTACTTCCCCACTACCCCAGCGTGGGCTGACTGACATTTCTCATGCTGTGAAGCTAGGTTCCTATCTCTCTTGATCTAAGATGTGATTAAATTGAACTGCTTTATAAAATAATAAATAATAAATAAATAAATAAAATTAATTTTATTGGCACATTTTAGGTATACATAATGACGACATTCATTAGAGGAAGCTTGTATCTGTGCACTTTTCTTGTTTTTTATTTCTTTTTTTCCTGAATCCTTCTCCTCTTTTCAGTCCGTCTTCCCTTCCTTAGTTACAGAAGCTTTGTTTCCATTTTCTTTCTTTTCTCTTCTCTTCTTTTTTTCTGCTCTTCATTTCCTCTCCTACCATCCCTGTGCCTCTTTCAATTGAATATTTTCTTCCCATTTCAAAGCATCTGTTAT